GGCACGAGAAGTGCAAAAACGCATAATCGCACCGGCCCGCCTGGTGCGTTCCAGCCTGGGTTATGCTGTGCACCATCCACTTCGTTTGACGGGAGATGCTTGTGATAAGGAGTAGGGTTCTCACAATCGTAAATGAAGCTTTTCTTTGTTCTGCATACTCAGCCAACCTTTCTGATCCTGCATGGGAGAGACGTGCTATATTAAAGACGCTAATTTATCCAAAAAAGTTAGATTTATCCCTCGCGATATGTGCCCTCTCTCTCCCTCTTTTTCAACTCTGCCTTTGTCTTTACACCCTTTTTGCATGGCAGTCAAATTACTCCAGCCCTATTGCTCAATCAGACTATGTGATGGGAAAGCATGGTCACTGCTTTCTGCTGTGCGCAAAGTAGGTTCCAGTCACTGGTCTTTGGTTGGGGACAAAACTGGAAATCCTCTATTTCATTTCATATCAGTGAATGGAGATGCTAAAACGGCGACGCTCGATTGGGCAGGATAGCAACGAAAAAATGTCGCCTATTTCCTGCGTGAAGTATGTGAAGGGAAGAACTGGTTCAGCTTACCGGATAACTCAGTGCTGCTTCTCCGCGATGGCAACATTTTTGGTGTCCATTGTGGCGATTCAAATGGTCGCAGCGGTTGTCAAAGGCTCGGTAAATTTGGAAAGTAGTAGTGTTTTTACGTAGTAGTGTTTTTACGCATTTCTGTTGCGCAACGCTATAGCCAGCAAAAACGCATACTGTCGAGATGTCGACTGTGTGTGTTCGAAGCGAGTGAACTTTGTCACCCACTTTCATCTCAGCAACCAGGAAAGCTGAGAGGTTGGAATTTTGGCTACTTGTTCCTAGTCCGTGTGTCACCCTCCCATTTTAAAATCTTCCCCCGCACGTGCCTAGAACTTGCGTACGGAACCCCCCAAAAAAATATGCAAATTACTTTGAAGCGATTTCGCGAACCGGCCAAGATAAGAAGCTGAAAATTTGCAGAAATATTTTCTGTGTAGGTGCGAGCTAAAGTTTTCAAATTCGGCTGCCGCACGCGCTTGTGCAACGCGTACTACCATGTCGAATTTTGCGACTTGGTACCATGCCAACTGGAAAACTTGCCGAAAAACAGCAGCTGAAATTTTGTCAGGATGTTTGTCTCCCACATAGGAGGTAGTATACCTAAAACGAGTACTGACTTGCACTTGCGCCGCGATTTAGGGCACCTCGAAGATATTTGTAGCGAGGTGGATATTTCGCTTACCGGATAAGCTGCGCGGCTGAAAATTCGTTGGAATATTCTATTTTCAAGTGCGATGTTAATTCTGCTTGAAGGTGGAAATCCCTGAAGGCAGGCGCGAAAAATACTGGACTTTACCGACTGCGTTTCGCAGCGATCGACTGCCCCCAATGAACTAATGTTCATTTACACATTTGGATGAGGGCGGTCGCTTACCATTAGCTCATGAACATTAGTTCATTTGCATACGTGAATTTTTTCGGATACGACCGTTCGAGCAATACCTCCGCTTTTTAGCGAACTGGAAATTTGCATTTTTTCAAAAAATTTGCACTTTTCAGTTTTTCAAAAAGCTAGTATTTACTGAAAAAACGACCGGGTTTCATGCAAAAAACTGGTAATCATGTACCTGCAGATTCATGAGGCTTTATAACGCAACACTTGGTAATTACTAAAGCTCGGCTCGGCTCGGCTCGGCTGGTGTCTTACACGATCAGCCAAAAATTTTTTCTATGGAGGACGGGTAGGGTTGCCCGTGCAGCCCTGTGCTACAAATAGGGTGAGGGCTATTGAAACCTAAGAAAGGGGAGAGGTTAGCAGCAACCAGCTTCCGTATGGTAGCAACATTGTTAGCAGCAACTCGCTTCCCCTCCCCACTTTCCACCCGCGGCGAAACTACTAATGGCTTCCTCTTCCTCTCAGTCCTCACCACCAGAGGAGGGGAGTGTGCGGCTTAGGGGGACTGAGTGGCGGCGGCGAATTTAGTCGCCCATTACCCTCAGCCCTCAGCAACAGGGAAGTGCGACTTAAGGGGACTGAGTGGCGCACTACTCTCAGTCCTCACTACCAGGGGGGAGGGGAAATGGAAAAATTTGATTCTTAGGAAGAGAAGGGGGGGGGGGATGTATATCCACTAACCGCCGCTCATCCTCCACGCACTCCCACAACAACGGCTGCATCTCTACTATCCCGCCTCCCCACCAGCCAGCCTGTACAGCCACTGCGGCCTGGGTAACCTTGCCCTTTTATTGGATCTTGCAGAAAATTACTGCAGGTCTTGTTCTGGTCGTCAGACAGAAGCACGCACACTGCGAACCAAGCCCCGCTCTTGCTCATCCCGACCCCCAAATCTCTTGCCTCCACCCGCACCTTCAGCTCCCACGTCAGAATGTTCCTCATACATGCAGCAGCACACACCACCACTTCACGATCCTTCACTTCCTGTCAGGGCAACGTTGCCCCACTTTCCTGCCACGTTGCCAACTGTTCCTTCCTTCTGGCGATGTGAAATAGTGCTACCAGAGACGGCAGACGCCTCATGGGGCGCAAAACGCACCGGCCGTGCCGAGCCGAGCCCAACCGAGTTTTAGTAGTTGCCCTTATCTTAGCCGACGCCCATTCTGTCGCATGCCGGAAGAAACCAAAGCATGGTCAATATGAGCCCAAGTGTTTGACTGCAGCGCAGGGATTATTCCTACTATTAGCAACCCGCGAGTTTAGTGCAAAAACGCGTGATCGCACCGGCAAGCCTGTTTTGTTCCATTTTGGGTTTATATAAACCTGAGCATAGAATTCGCAAAAGATTGCTTCTTTTCTACAGTGCTTGCATATATCGGAAGTGAACGAGTTAGTCTTTCCCATTCTTTGGTACATATTGGTTTCTGGTAAAAAAAAATTCCTCAGAATTGCACTTTATGAATCTATCTACCTGTTTCCGAGCTTCCTCTGTGGATGGTGAAACGATTAAGGGAATAACGTCTAAAAACGGATCGTAGAAATCCAGAAGCAGGAAAGTGCAAGATATAATAACAGTAGTAATAGTTATTGTTGTAGCAATAATAATAAGAGCAATAGTAGTAAAAAAGTAGTAATCACAGTAGTAAGCAAAACGAATTAGACTGTATGCAAAAAAAGAAGCAAATCAGGGGAAAACAAAAATATGAATTTACTTGCGTACAAATCGAATACTACAGTTTCTCCAACGATCAAAGCTACAATGCTTTTTTTCACAGAAAAGATGCTTAATCGGACATATCTTTCTTTGTCATTATCGCACTGAAAAAAAGCGATGAATTCTTTACGATTTTGTTGCTACTTTTTTCTGTGTTGCAGCCTGTATATCCAGATGCGTGGAAATCTCAAACAGAGGGCGACGTAGCCAACTGCACTGACAGGCACCAGTTACATATGGGAAGACACTCTCTGCCTTTGGCAGCTCAAAACAAAAGCAGTAAACGTGGTGGTCGTGCCCGAAACAGTACCCGCAAAGCTAGACACTTGTGTCATTATTGCGGCAAAAACATGATTTTTGCTTCGAAACTGAAGAATCATTTGCTGAAGCACACTGGCGAAAAGCCATTCACTTGTGAACAATGCGGTAAAAAGTTTGGATTAGTGGAAAATTTGCGACAGCATTACAAAATCCACACTGGCGAAAGACCATTTATATGCTACAACTGCAATTCGAGCTTCCAACGGAAAAATGATTTGCGAAATCACATGCGAATACACACCGGTGAAACGCCATACTGCTGCGATATTTGCGGCAAAATGTTGCGCTACAGACGCGATTTAATCGTGCATTTGGGAATTCATTCTGGCGACAATCCCTACAAATGTGATTTTTGTAATAAAACGTCAAGAGACAAATCAGATTTAAACAGACATCAACGGATTCATACCGGCGAGAAACCGTATAAGTGTAAGTTCTGCGAAATAAGAATGAGCGACAGAAGTACTCTAAATCGGCACCAGCGAACACATACTGGCGAGAAACCTTATATGTGCAAATTCTGCAGTATGAACTTCACTAGAAAGGCCTATGTGCTGAGGCATCAGCAAAAGCACTGTACCGAAAACAATACACAACTGACTGCTGTAACTAGATGATATTTATTATAGTGTTTCGACCAGCTGTTGTTTCACGCTTTCGTTCCATCTTGCTGTTTTAGGAGGCACTTAGCTGCTAAGAATTTTCACTGTTTTATGCTTCCGTTCAAAAAAAAAAAAAAACGCAAAACAGTTTCTGATTCTTGAGCTGTGAAATTTCCTAATGAATTTCGCATACCGATGCATGAAATGTAAATATGCGGATTTAAAACTTTGGATTGCACGTGGACGAATAATAATCTTTCTTGATTTGCAGCTTTCCCACTTCCGATTTAGCGTCAAAATGTTTATGTTGCCATACGTGAGACCTCGGCATAAATGGGCGAGAAATTTTTGTTCTCGAACTCCCCGCATATGGAGAACCTTTCAAATCTCAGCCTCCTAGTTCTTTTGTTCCAAGATAACGATTTTCCCTGCCACAGTTTTCATTATGCCATGCTCAGTACCTAAGGTTTTCGTCACTAACTTCCATAGTCGCATCAATTTTAAAGCATTATCACAAGCATATAATCTCCATTATATCTTCCAGCTGCCTTGCTCCCCAAAACTTGTGTTGCTCACGCTCGCTGCTTCAGCGTGGTTAAACTGCTTATATTTTTTATTACATCAAAATTGTTATTATTTCTTCACATTTAATTTGGCTTTTTTTAACAGAAATAGAAGTGCTACGTCATGTAATTGTGTGCTGGTGCCGTAATCATGAAACGGGGTTTTTTATAGTATCAAAATAGTGTGCCAGATTAGGCAGCAGATACATTCTGTGAATCAGTTTTAGCTATTACTTATAGTAGTTCACTAATTAATCATTTCCTGCGTTTCGAGCGCTCATTCATTTAGAGAGAGGCAAGGATACGGCTCATTTAAGGCATCAAATTACAGTGCTCTTGTAGAAGCCGTAACAAACTGTTATTGGCAGCGAAAGAGTTGCCATTTTCGAGTAGTATTTAAGATGCATAACGGTGACAACCTGGTGTCAGTAAGTTTTCGCTCTCATCAGTAGCATTCGCCCACATCAGTAGTTTTTTATCATCTAGACGAATCAGGACCGAACTGTTATTTTAATTCACCGATTCATGAGACAAAGGTTTTTCTAGACTTGTCGTGTGACGAGAATCCACAGACTGCTATTTCCGTATTTACGTGATAAAGCTGATGTTTTGAAAAGTGATTTTTCTTGTATGACTGAAGCAGCAAGTTAGTGTGCGTTTTCTTTCTAATTTACTCTTGTTCATTTATTTCTATTTAGTACGATAGACTAATAAATGATTAAATTATCGTCGCGATCCATTAAATTTTGTATGTTCTAACATTTACAGACTGAAATAGCTAAATGATAAGAAATTCCATCAAATCTCTGCATGCTAGTTTCGACTAATGGAGCCGATCTCTTTAGTAAAATAGCTACCCTGTGCGATTATGACTACTGTTCACTGATTTGCTATCACTCGGGATACTTCATATGTGCTTCCGCTTCTCAGAAACAGTGAATACGGAGATTTTTTCTTTTGAAGCGTATATCAGATTACAGCGAAACATAATTGCATCGAATACTCAAAAAGTGGTGGTGGTGGCT